ATAGGAAGAATGATAGTGTACAGAACAAGAAATACAGAACTAGAAATACATTCAGAAACAAACACAATATTTACAAGGTCAAGGGCATGCATGCTTCCCATTAAATCATGTCATTTTATAACAGTTTGTGTTTTAATCAAACGCATTTTCTGTTGTTATTTGAATAAGGGGAATCTTTAAGCAGGGTCTTTCAATAGCAAATCAAGTTCTATTTGAAAGATCTTGCTTTAAGATATATTCAGATAAGAAGAATAATGAGCTTTTGTTGCTTCTTCATACCTCAATGTGAGAATATAATCAATAAACGAGCCACACCACAACAAAACCAACATAATGCGTTTGCGACCAGCATGGATCCAGACCAGTTTGTGCATCCGTGCAGTCTGGTCAGAATCCATGATGTCCGCTACTTGTAATAGAGTTGGTAAGCGAACAGCATGGATCCTATCAGACTGCATGGATGCGTAGGCTGGTCTGGATTCATGCTGGTCGCAAACGCATTATGTTGGTTTTGTCATGGCACAGCTCAAATCTTTTTTGTTAAATTTAAAACAAAGAATTTACAAAAATAAAAAGAGCAGTTAAAACACACACAGAATACAGACTATTTTGAAATACCAATACAGACTTACTAATATCACATGTGTACATATATTTGATAACTATATGGCTAGTGTGCAACTTGCATTATATGTGTGAATAAATACAAAGCCTGTGCATAACATGTTTTTTAACACATTCCATCTTCTGTTCCAGTTAAAAATAATTGAATAATGAATAAAAAAGACTCATAAATAAAAATACAACACCTTTTTGTACAGGCAGTATATATGGACTAATTATTTTATTTTTAAATACACAGAGTTTATTGTATCACAAACCTAATAAAATGACCAGTAAGTAACAAAACAAAAAAGGGAAACTTTTGAAAGTAAGCTTTTCACAAAGATCTCTAGAGTTTTCTAAAGAATAATTCATATAAAGTAAAACACTGGGTAATTTTTTTCTCTTAATTATTTAAACTGGTATCTATAAACACAAAATGTGAAATAAAAAATAAAATCATTGAGTCAAGAATCTTTATTACAAGTATTATATATAAACAAGATATGTTTGTAAAACATGTATGCCCCCTATCTGCAGCCAATTAGTCATGTGATAAGGTTATTATGCATGACTTCTGACCCAGTGATCAAACAATTAATAAGGGTTATCAAGTATCTACTGGTCATGACCTTAACCTTTGACCCCTTGACCCAAAACTCAATAGGGGTCATCTGCTGGTCACGACCAATCATCATACAAAGTTTGAAGTTCCTAGGCCTAAGCGTTTTTAGTTAATTGATCGGAAACCGTTTTTACCTACAAGGTCAATGAGACCTTGACCTTTGACACTGACCCAAAATCAATAGGTCATCTGCTGGTCATGACCAATCACCATACCAAGTTTGAAGTTCCTAGGCCTAAGGGTTCTTTAGTTATTGATCGGAAACCGTTTTAACATACAAGGTCAATGTGACCTTGACCTTTGACCCCAAAATCAATAGGGGTCATCTGCTGGTCATGACCAATCACCATGCCAAGTTTGAAGTTCCTAGGCCGAAGCGTTCTTTAGTTATTGATCAGAAACCGTTTTTACTTACAATGTCAATGTGACCTTGACTTTTGACCCCTTGATCCCAAAATCAATAGGGGTAATCTGCTGGTCATGACAAATCACCATACCAAGTTTGAAGTTCCTAGGCCTAAGCTTTCTTAAGTTTTTGATCTTAAACCGTTTTTACTTACAAGGTCAATGTGACCTTGACCTTTGACCCCTTGACCCAAAACTCAAAAGGGGTCATCTGCTGGTCATGACCAATCATCATACAAAGTTTGAAGTTCCTAGGCCTAAGCGTTTTTAGTTAATTGATCGGAAACCATTTTTACCTACAAAGTCAATGTGACCTTGACCTTTGACCCCTTGACCCCAAAATCAATAGGTCATCTGCTGGTCATGACCAATCACCATACCAAGTTTGAAGTTCCTAAGCCTAAGGGTTCTTAAGTTATTGATTGTAAAGCATTTTTACCTACAAGGTCAATGTGACCTTGCCCATTGACCCCTTAACCCCAATATCAATAGGGGTCATCTGCTGGTCATGACCAATCACCATACCAAGTTTGAAGTCCCTTGGCCTAAGGGTTCTTTAGTTATTGATCGGAAACCATTTTAACCTAAGAGGTCAATGTGACCTTGACCTTTGACCCCTTGACCCCAAAATCAATAGGGGTCATCTACTGATCATGACCAATCACCATATCAAGTTTGAAGTTCCTAGGCCTAAGGGTTCTTAAGTTATTGATCGGAAACCGTTTTTACCTACAAGGTCAATGTGACCTTGACCTTTGACCCCTTAACCCCAAAATCAATAGGGGTCATCTGCTGGTCATAACCAATCACCATACCAAGTTTGAAGTTCCTAGGCCTAAGGGTTCTTTTGTTATTGGTCAGAAACCGTTTTTACCCGAGAGGTCAATGTGACCTTGACCTTTGACCCCTTGACCCCAAAATCAATAGGGGTCATCTACTGATCATGACCAATCACCATACCAAGTTTGAAGTTCCTAGGCCTTAAAGTTCTTTAGTTATTGATCAGAAACCATTTTTGCCTACAAGGTCAATGTGACCTTGACCTTTGACCCCTTGACCCCAAAATCAATAAGGGTCATCTACTGATCATGACCAATCACCATACCAAGTTTGAAGTTCCTAGGCCTTAAGGTTCTTTAGTTATTGATCGGAAACCGTTTTTGCTTACAAAGTCAATGTGACCTTGACCTGTGACCCCTTGACCCCAAAATCAATAGGGGTCATCTACTGATCATGACCAATCACCATACCAAGTTTGAAGTTCCTAGGCCTTAAGGTTCTTTAGTTATTGATCGGAAACCGTTTTTGCTTACAAGGTCAATGTGACCTTGACCTTTGACCCCTTGACCCCAAAATCAATAGGGGTCATCTACTGGTCATGACCAATCACCATACCAAGTTTGAAGTTCCTAGGCCTAAGGGTTCTTTAGTTATCACTCGGAAACCATTTGGTCTACGGACCGACGGACCGACAAGTGCAAAGCAATATACCCCCTTTTCTTCGAAATGGGGGCATAATTATCTTATTGCAGCACAGCCGACTGGTTAGCATGTTGAATTAGTATTGTAAGAATATCTATTCCTATTGGTTCAAACCCCACCAGGAGCAAGCTGTTATTTCCTTGAGCAAGAAACTTTACACTTACCGCTCCATACTGGTTGGTTCAGGAACAGATTCAAGAGTGTGTCTATAAGCTTATAGATTCCTAAAACAATCAAATTAAAATAAATTCTGTTCCAATAATTTAACATTTATTAAATATGATGATGGCATATGTATTTCAGATTTAACCATCATATCATCATATATGTGTAATAATATAATTAATATAAGGCAAGCAAAGTAAAAACATAATTTTCATCAGCAGTTTAGAAGCTTTTAAACAAGAGCTGTCCGTAAGACAGCGCGCTCGACTTTTTTATTGCTTGCCAAGAAAAAAAGTTTTTGCAGTAAAAGGCAATACAAGAATCTCTGTATTTTTAAAGTGAACAATGGCCATGAGCATTAAGATATTTAGTGAAGAATTATTTTATTATGACATAATTTATGGTAAAGTGAACAAGTGGATAGGAATGAATTTTTTTAGATTTTTTAAGTTTTTTAGTGCTTGCCTATAATACAAAACATTGACAGTTAAGGGCCATAATTCAAATAAAATCTTTGACAGAATTACCTTCTCCTGGACATGTTTGGGAATCATGATTGTAAACAAGTATTCCAACTTTCAAATTAATATCTCAAACAGTTCAGTCAAAAAGTGGACTGGTACTAAAAACTTAACCAAGATTCTAAGTCGATAAAAGGCCTTAATTTTTAAAACAAATCCTTGACAGAGTTACCTTCTCTTGCGTACAGATGGGGGTAATGATGTGAAATAGCATTAAAAGTTTCAAAGCAATATCTCAAAGGGTTAAGGCAATAAGTGGATTTTACCCATATTCAATGTATTTTCTAAGTCAAAAAGGGGCATAATTCTGTCAAAAACCTTGACAGAGTTATGTCCTCTTGTCTGTTGATGAAGGTCGTGATGGTAAACAAGTATGGTCAGTTTCAAAGCAATACCTCCAATGGTTTTTAAATAAAGTGAGGTGGTACAAAAAACTTAACCAAGCTCAATACACTTTCTAAGTCAAAAAAGGGCCATAATTCTGTCAAAAACCTTGACAGAGTTATGTACTCTTGTCTGTAGATGGAGGTTATGATGGTGAACAAGTATGGTAAGTTTCAAAGCCATACTTGTAATACTTCTGAAATAAAGTGGGGTGGTACGAAAAACTTAACCAAGGTGTGACGCCAACGCCAACGCCGACGCCGGGGCGAGTAAGATAGCTCCCCTTTTCATAGAAAAGTCGAGCTAAAAAGGAAATTACAGCCCGAACATTATTACAAAATTTATTTCCTTATTTTCACACAGTTAAGCACCATATTACAAATAAAAGGTTTACAAAACAATACATGTTGCAACATACAATTAAAATAATATTTACATATAAAAATTGCACTCACCTACATTTTACCATATTAAAATTAATTTTTCAATACAATTACACCAGCATTTAGATGTGTTCTCTTTTTCCACAATTCACTCTTCATTCAAAGTAGTTATATCAATTGGTATGAGTTCATTAAAACAGTTTTAGAGTTAGGGTTCATGTTACACGTCATGCAGAGACTTTCCAGTTTTATTGGTGGAGGAACACCTCAGGTGACCACAACATCACGCTTGAGTAGACCTACTGACCTTTTGTAAACAAACAATGCTTCTTTTCAGAAATCTATGCCAATGTTAAACTATATAAATAATTTCTTAACTGTAATGAGAGGCAAATTGCATCTATAGAAACCTTTTTTACTTATACAGTATATCATAATGGAATGTAGACTAAACATTTTGTATGTAATTAATTATTTTAAACAAAGAAATTAACAATTCCTATGTAAACATCTGGATAAATGCAACTGATAAGTTGCTGATTTAAAGAAGTAAAAACTAAAATCCTAGCAACAAGTTGGTCTACTTTCTTAACTTAAAACACAATGACCTTGACCCTTCAATGAAGGTCACAAGTCTTGCCAATGGTAATATCGTCACCTTAGTGCAGTAACAGGTTAACTCCTATCATAATTATTTAAGGAGTTAACCCATTATCGCACTCCAGTGACGATATATATCAAAATAATGTAGTGTGATGGTAAATTCTTGTGATATGGAAACAATTCAACTATATCTGACTAAAGAACAAGTATGATCTGATAGAAGTTGACTGGATCCTCCTTTTGATTACAATGACAAGATCATTTCAAGCAGGCTTGGGTTATTAACCAGTGTCAACTAAAAACTTACCACTTAAAACAATTATTATCCAATAAATGCCCATTTCTTACATACATATTAAAATTATTTTCTCTTACATTGCAAAAGAAATAAATATTTCAAGCAACCTTTATATATAATACAAATATACATTCAAAATAATACAGTAAAAAAAGTATCTTTTCTTCCACGGCATATCGCAGATCCCTTTTTCCAAAGCAAATACTCCTTAAAAACAAGACCTGTAAAACACAAGCATGTGATATTCTAAATGAATAATAAATGGATGACTATACAGTAACAGTAGAACAGCAGAGTAGAGTCAGACTGACAGGAAAAAGTATGAAGAGGAAAACACTGTGCAAGAAAGACAGAAAATAACAGAATCTAAGCAGTATTTTACAGGGCATACTCAATAAATGAGGGTTCAATACTAAATCAGTAAAAGAAGAACAATTTTTCATTGATGCTCATACACTGTAACACTGACATTTAGAGGGATTATGTTTTGCTTATGTAACATGTAGAACACCTTGCCCATATGATTACCGCCATCTCTAGGTTTTGATAAATATAAATGTGAAAGTCTCTTTCTTATAAATGTTCTGCAAACCAGAACAAAACATCTTTGCATAATGACTACAACGTATTTACTATTACCATAGTAACAGTTTCTTTATTTCTGGTTTTATGAAGAGCATTTTTATCACATTATCCGATATTTAGGTAACTACTGGGCATTTGTTCAATAGTTAAGTTCCATTGAATATTGATAACATTTTGTTATTTTAGTGTCACATTCTATCAGGCAGTCTGTATATCAATCAGTATGACTTCATGACTATGTTCATATCAATGTTGTTATGTTAAGGCTACAAGCTGCACTGCGGTACAACACATTTCTCACTTCACTATGATGATAGCCGACCCTGTATGCATTACAGTTTTATTTTCCTCCATGATTCAAGTGTGGCCTATTATTCATAATACAATGTATTTACAATCTATGATGGTCCTTGTGTTTGCTAGGACTTGTATGTGGGGGAGCGATAGAGCTGCGGCAATAGGGACGGGCTGAGGGGTTCAATCCCACCTGAAAAATAGAAAAAACATTCAACACTTCAAATTAGTGTACTTAGTACATACATCAGACAGTTTATGGTACGCTGAAATTTAACATATGCAAGGAAACTTATTTTAATTTTTAACACAGTCTTAATAATAACAATTTTAATGCCAAAAGAATGCTTTTCATTTCTACTGTATAAAATGTCTTATCTTTATCATGTATATAAGAAATTATCCATCAAAGTAACACTTTAGCGAAATTTGGTAGAACCATATTAAAGTTTCCATTAACTAACAAATGGAGAGTCCATTGCAAATCTGTTGAAAGATCATCAAGAATTTCGACTAACAACAGCATTGCAGTAAAATCTTGCATTTTTTTTGCTTTGCTTCATTGGAATCAATTTGTCTCTCTTGAAAAATGACAGATAAGCTACCAAAAACAAATTGTGTTTTAATTATCAAGTGCCATTTAAAAATGAAAAGAATTAAATTGGTCACTCTTGCAAAAACATTTATGTTATTAACAAAACTCTGAAACAAAAAGTTAGCAGTGAGAAAAAAAAAAACAGCTAGAATTTGGTGGGAATACCATGCAACTAAACATTGAAGTCAAACAAACAAACATGCAGATATTATTGTGTTAGAAAAACTTATCATATTTGATTAATAGATTAGATAAAACAACAGGAACTGTTCTCTGTAAATTAACTAAATTTTAAAAGAATGTTTTTCTTTCAATTTTCCCCCCAATAATGGAACACATGTACCCTAATATTATTTACATATAATTTCATGCTACATTACATTTAAACTTACTGTAATATTATTTTATATGTACTTAATATGCAGCTCTGTATTCTATTGTCTTGCGTTGTTTTTATTTATTACAAATTATGTCAAAACTCTCATCTTTTTTACCTTTTAAACCTATTGGCTATTGTATAAAAAAGTATAACTGAATGCATTTTAAATTAAAGAATAGTGCTTGAAAAGTGTTTTACCTTTTTTAGCCAGACTTTCTGATTATCCTGATTAAATTTGCAGTTAAAACTATTTTCTTAACATGAACTGATAGGTTTCCTTTCAATTGATTAAATTGGCCTTTTAATATTATAAATAGTGCTCTTTTTAAGCATATCATAAAAATAAGAAGGGAAAATTTATGGGGTAACAGTTACAGGCAAAAAGGGGAATAAACTATAAATAATACATATTAACACAAGCTAAAAAGACACTATCTAAAATTGGTCTTACACATTAGAGATGATGAAAGCCTTTTGTGTTTGGTGATGGGCTGAATGACAAGGTGGAGTGATGGTTCACTGACAACTTATTCTGTATAATACAACGGCATTGTTCAATTAAATACAACAGAAATTTCAATAAAACATAAAATCAGCCTGACCAAAAGTTTTGTAGAAAGGTTTAAAGCAGCATGCCTCCAGATTCATGCTAATTTTCATGAAAATTTTGAAAATAAATTTAAAAGTAAAATATTGTAAGTGAACAAAGAAAAGTAAATTTACACATTGCAAATGGCACTGACCATCCACGTAAATAACCAAAAAATGTCAAAATAAACATAACAAGAACTGTCGGAGGACAGTATTGGCTCGACTATTCAAAAATTGTCACAAGGGTGTTTTATTGAGTATAATAATGCTAATTACCTATGAATACATAAAATTGACCGAAAAGGTACAAAGGCTTGTTATTAAGATGTTTTATCAAGTAAATCACTGCTTTATTATTATGAATGCATAAAAATGTCCCAAAAAAGGCATAAACTCTTCAGTAGTTATGGAGATAACAGCTTACAAGCAAAACTTTACCATGAATTTCTAAGTTGAAAAAGGGGAGAAAAATCAGCCTAAATGCAAGATAGAATTATGGATCTTGGTCAGTGACCTACAATTATGATTCTAAATGCATATGTGAAGTTTTAAATAAATATCTTTAATAGTTATTGAGATATGTAAAACTTGCATGTAAACATTAACCAAGAGACTAAGTAGAAAAGGGGAGATGAATCAGCCTAAATGCGAGTAGAGTTATGGAACTTGGTCAGTGACATACAATTATGACTCTCCAATTATGACCCTAAGTACATGTGTAAAGTTTCAAGTAAATATCTTTGAAGACCTTTAACCTTTAACCAAAATTTCTAAGTTTCAAAGGGGCAAATAATTCTGCAAATATTGCAGGCAGAGTTATGCAATTTTGCAAACTGATGTACATTGTTACTATAAAAAAGTATTGTAAATTTCAATTGAATATCTCAAGCAATAATTGAGATATTTGACTTTACAAAAAAACTTTAACCAAAATTTCTAAGTTATAAAGGGGCATAATTCTGTAAATATTATAGGCAGAGTTATCCAACTTGTCAATCTGATGTACATTGTTACTATAAATAAGTATTGTAAGTTTCAATTGAATATCTCAAGCAATAATTGAGATATTTGACTTTACAAAAAACTTTAACCAAAATTTCTAAGTTAAAAAGGGGCATAATTCTGTAAATATTGTAGGCAGAGTTATCCAACTTGTCAATCTGATGTACATTGTTACTATAAATAAGTATTGTAAGTTTCAATTGAATATCTCAAGCAATAATTGAGATATTTGACTTTACAAAAAACTTTAACCAAAATTTCTAAGTTAAAAAGGGGCATAATTCTGTCAATATTGTAGGCAGAGTTATCCAACTTGTCAATCTGATGTACATTGTTACTATAAATAAGTATTGTAAGTTTCAATTGAATATCTCAAGCAATAATTGAGATATTTGACTTTACAAAAAACTTTAACCAACGCAGACGACCGACGCCGGGGCGACTACAATAGCTCTCATATTCTTTGAATAGTCGAGCTAAAAAACTTACTGTGTTAGTAACGTAGTAGAATTTATAGTGATTGATACTGCAAAATCAGTCATTAATTGTACCAAACGTGTAAATAATTAATTAGATATTAAATCTTTTTACTTTTCTAAAGATCTTAATACATTTTTCTAAAGATAGAAGTTCTTGAAATATTTTGGCTCATCTGGAGGCGTGCAGTTTTAAAACGTACCAAATATAAACATAGCTACAAATTAAGGAAAAGAATTATATGAAAATCTTTATCACAAGGAAAACAGTATAGATTGAAAAGAAAAAAATATGTAACTGGAAGATCAAAGCATTTTAAAAGAGATTGATCAAATTTTGCTTAACAACAAAAAAGAAAAAGAAAGTATTATTCAAGCTGTAATATTTTGAATATCTTATGCCCCTTACTTATGTGTTTAAACTTTTGTACATTGCTTATTTCAATGATACTACTTTTATACAAATCAACAAGATAAAAGTTTTCATCTAGATTTGCTTTATGTCATATAGAACTCGGGTAAAACAATGTCCAGCAAAAATTATGACTTATGACTTGTTTTGTGTGTGTGTGTACATCACAATAGAAATGACGGTTGAACTAATTTTCCTGGGAACAGAACTGTTTGTTAAAAATTAAACATATGTCACTGCACTGTTTAGCACATACATTGAAAGTTTCTATGTAGTTTCATTTATGACTTACTTGGCAGATCAATAAAACTAATCTATTTTTTGAAATGTTTTGATAAGCAGATTTATACCAAAATGGTTTTGCAAGACTGACCAATTCATGTTTCCAAACAAACAAAATGTCAAGCTGATTTTACTTAGAAACTGAACAGTCACAATACAAATAGTAATTTCTAGATGATAATTTACCCCTACTCATTGGTAATCTCAAAATACTTGTTCTATAATATAAATAATGTTCATTTCTTTAAGCGAACACATTTTTCAAAGACAGAAAAAAAAAAGAAAGAAAAATCACCGCAAAATAAACCCTCATCTCTATAACGCAGATAGCGATTTATATGGTTAAATTTAAAGATGGCTTTCCACTGAAAACTATTGACACCTATCAATGAATTATAAAACTAAAGTAACGATTTATTGAGCCCTTGTACCACAAATATTAAAGAATATCAGTATCAACTAGAACAAATTAAAATGCAACATCACAAATTTGAATTTTGGACGGTTTAGTGAATATATAACAACTAGAGTACACACAGCAAAATCTTGATAAGATCCGGTCGAGGCTAGAGAATTATTCCCACCAAAATCTGTGTTTATATTGCTGCTAACTGTAGTATGACTGAACACTGTCTCATTTATACCCTCGTTTCTCTCGCCTAGAACTTTACGGGCCAGTCTGTTAGACCTCCTCCTGTTACGGGAACCAGGCGCCTGAAACAAATACAATAATAATAAATATTCTAATAACATTTTTCCTTACTGAACATAGAAGGACCGAAAGTGTGTGTTATTTAAGAAATAATATATCCAAACTGTGATTTTATTGCTCAATAACATCACTGTTTGGAGTTCGGATGCGGGGAATTATATCACGAGGGCGTAGCCCGAGTGATATAATGATGCGCATCCGAACGACAAAACAGTGATGTTATCAAGCAACAAAATCACCGATTTGGATATATTATTTTGATTCTAACACAACATCAACAAATAAATGCTGCCGTACATGATAGTTAGCTAAATTGCGCCTGATTTGTACTTATTGTCAGCGCGTCACATTTTTAGTGGTAACGTCACGTGTATAATGATTATGTCACATATCTAAATATAGAACATCAAACAGTGATTTTATAGCATAATAACACACACTTTCACTTCTTCTATGTTCAATAGGGAAAAATGCGGGTTGTGTTAGAATATGCAATAAAATCAGTGATGACATTCTATATTTTATTTAGATATGTGACATAACCATTTGAAATGCGACGCGCTGAAGATAACTACTATTAAGCTTGATATCAGGTACGGCAGCATTTATTTTTTTACTTTGTGTGTTAGAATCAAAATAATGTATCCCAATCAATGATTCTATCCCTTGATCACTGTCATTCCGATACTCGTCACTATATCATCAGGGGTACTATTTACCATAAAGTTAACGTATATGTATCAAAGGTACATTTTACAATAAAATTAACAAGTCACAGATTTTTTTTTCTCAATTAAATCTGTCACAAAAATACTTTTGTGTTTTAACAAGAAGAAATGAAAATGTAACATATCATAAAAATATAATCATTAAAATTTTGATATGAATAATAATTTTTTTATAATTAATATTGCATGCACCATTTTAATCATGATGAGCTTTGAGATCCAGTGAAAACTTTCTTCATCAAAAAAAAAATCCAATCAGAAAATTAAAAAAAATAAAAATCTTTCACATGATACATCAATTCAAACTTCAGACACCTTTTTTCAATAGAAACTGAATCATTTAATAGAATATAAAAGTTTTATAATCTTACAGTTTTACTGGAAGCTGACATGACTTTACTGGCATGAGGTACAGATGATACTGGGGCTTTTCTATATGGGGAATGGTATACTGATGTATGCTGCATTCTACTCACTGATGCTGGAGTCTTTGAATCATTTATCTGCAATGGTAAACAGTACAAGTGTCAATGGAAAGGTATTTATCAAGCTTCCCTTGAATAATTCTACAACACCACATATATTACTTCTAATTGATATACATGTTATTTAAGCAATGTTTTCCAATTAGATGAACTTGAAAAGTGTTTCAGGGCTTCAGTTAATTAATATTCTGACTTATAAAAAAAGTAAATTTGTTGTACAATATTTTTTCAATTCCTCAGTTTGATATTTAAATTCCAATGCCTGTAAGAATAAAATTTTATCAGTAAATATCTTAATGTAAGAATAAAACTGATGCTCCTTAATTGTCAAAACATTTCATATTTTTCTATTCTGAAAGACAATACAGATATAATATATCTTATTGTAAGACTAAGCTGTCAGTAGGACGGTGTGCTTGAATAATCTATGAATAATCTCAGTGCTGGAAAGTAAAACAAGAACCTGGATAATGTAAGATTTTCCAAGTTCAAAATGGGCCATAATTTTGTAAAAATTATTGTCTGAGTTAAAGTGACCTTCTATTACTTCTATTATGCTCTCAAATAAGTGTGTGAAGTTTTTACTCATTTCTTTCAATAGTTTTTGAGATATCAACATGCTCGCAAAACTTTAACCAAAGTGTGACACTGATGCCAACTGACATGGATGATATAATGTAACTTTTGAACAGTGTTTGAATAATGTAAAGCTGTAAAGTGATAGAAAGAGTACTACCATGCATTATAGTGAAAGTTTTATTACATAACAACAACGACTGCGTTTCTGCAAAACAGATATACCTGCACAAGTTTTTTCTCTCTCTATAATAAGATATTACTTTAAAGGACTAATAATTATTCATCCAGAGATAATGTAATTTGTTTTCATTAAAGTTGATGAAATTTTCAAGAGCAGTTTTAGTATCTAACGAGCAGCTCAAGTAAATGGATAAGCAGAAAAACTTTTTTTCCAAACATGGAGACGAAGCAAATATAACTGAAACTAGGGAGTCTAGATATTTATAACTTGCAGTACCATTCTAGCTGGTAGATATAAAAGTATGTGAAGCTGAAATTTGTTAGAGAAGAAACAGTAACAACTAGTAATAACAAATTGCATTCAATAATTACTGAATATATACCGAAATTTTGACATGTACCGTTGAACCACTGCCACTGCTACATGTACTATCAATCTAAAATCAGTACAGACTGTGTCACTATTTACCTGTCTTATTACTATTACCTTTCATAAATCAGTCATAAGATATACACAAGGAAAATTAGCCTGGGATAACATATCATAGGTACTGTATGAAAATCTACAATTTAGTTGATTTTAAAATGAGAAGTATATCGAAATTTCAAAACAATCATTAAATTTTGAAATGGAAGTCAAACATAAAGTGGATATCAGAATATACCATTTATCTTAATAAAGAAAATCTGTTTGTATCAAATATGATTTACCGGTATGTTTCATATTAAATCTAATTATAGATATATTTATTACAATCTTCACAGACTACTTCTATAAGCTAGTAGGCTATAATATTTACAAGAAAACAAGTATTTTTAGGTTTACCTTTCTATATTTCGGAGTTTTTGAAGGTGTAGTGGTCGGTTGAAATCTTCGTTTAACTGGTGTACTTGGCTTACTTCCAAATATCATCTCTTCATTCATGAGTTTTGTCTTTGCTTTTTGCTGTAAAAAAAACACCAAATCATGATCATTCTTTTTGAACAAAACAATGTAACAATCATTATGCAAAAACAGAAAAAGAACTGCTCAAGTTCTGTTTGTGTCTGTTTGGTTTTGTGGTGCGCAAATACAGTGAGCACAATTTGAGTCATATGGCACCAGGAAAGATGATTTTTGCTACCCTTGGGTGTTAACACCAGGGGTCAAAACCACCTCACCTGCTAAGGCTAAGGGGTGCAGATACCAGTCATTCGAACCAATATAATTGCCTCTTACAATCTTGCAGTGGTAAAGGCGGCTGCAATTCTGATGTCTCAAAAAAGTTTTGTGAAGCCCTTGTTTTGACAATTCTGTTTTGATTTGAGCACACTAAATTATTAATTTCAGGATTTTACCATCAAAATACAACAAAAGCACCACATGCACTGTTGATGCTCATCAGTTAATATGGTTTACGCCAATTAATAACTGATTTTTACAAATATTAAGTTAGAAAGGGACATAACCTCTAAAAATATTGCCTTCAGGATAACGCCCAGTCTTACAACTGCAGCTTGTCATGATAAGCAAATATTCCAAGTTACATGATGATACCTTTTAAAATATTAGAATAATTGGCTGCATTAAAATTTTTGCTTGATGACAATGATGCAACCATTAGAATAGCTAGACTTTTCTACTATACAGACAAGCTAAAAATGAATTAATAAACCATATAGCATGTTCTAAAACCGCAAAGCAAACAAAATTACAATCCAATCTTAAAATGTGATGATAACAAATCTCTTTAAAGTAAAAAAAAATTATAATCTTCATACCCTTTCCTCCTTTTCTCTTACTTTTGCTTCTTCATAGTCGGTCCAAGTTTTCTCAATATATCTGATAAACGACATTCCGTTCACTAAGAATGTTCGTCCATGTTCCTTCTCCCACAACAAAATATCATCTTTTACATTTTGTTCAACCTGAAAAGTATGTCAATTATATAACATAAACATTTACAGAGTTGAAATTGAAAACTTACAGATTTTAATGATATCTAATAGTCTTAAATTACAAGTAACACCAAGCTCACTGATGAAATACAACTTGTAACTTGCTTCTGTCTTTAAAGGAAACTTTTGTCACTACTTATTTCTACTTTAAGTAAGCATCATTATGTTCCAGATAAGAATTCCTTATCTCACCTCTGTTATATGATATCCAAGGTATACACAACTATAATATAATTTTTAAGTTTGATTCAAATACAATAAAGGGTTTTGGAGCCGAAGTACAGTCACAGCAATTTACTGTAATGGTCATATGGTAATTTTCCAGCTTCACTAGTGGAGGAAAAAAGCGCAGTATTTCAGGCACCTGAGTACAACCATTGTCAAATTAGCTGCTCACATGAAATAATTCTAAGTTCCTAGCAGGACAGGAACCCACAGCAGTGTTAAGAGGTAAACGATTTAACCAATCGGCCACAGGCCTTGAAAGATGCCCATTAAAAGCAGACTTAGTGACCAACAAACACATTTGTATAGAATTCCTTTCCCAAGCTTAGTGAGGTTATAATAAGATATATCCCTCGACATGTCAAGCACAGTGAACCTAGGTTGACAACTTACCTTTGGTAATTGTTTCATCAAAGCTTTCCTCTCTTTCTCCTCCAGCAGTAATTTTCCTCCTCGATCCGAGAAAAATCGGTTTGGATCATTTGCTCTTTTCTGTAAAGTACAAACACACATTATCGATACCTCTACATGTATTTCTATTAACTGTATATTTAAAAGCCATCTGAAACACTTTAAATAAATATTCCACACTTTTCTTTTCATCTCCTAGGTTAAACTCAACATACATCAAAATACGATAACTTGTTTGGAATCTCTATGTAACAAACCCATTTTTATAATCAAGTTACAGTGCAACCCCTGTGGACTGGCCCTTTGTAGAGCAATTAGAAACAATCCTTCCTATAGTTAAACTTCAAAATAGATAACCTCTTTAGAGAACCAACTCTAAGAAACAACCAAAATCTTCATCTCTCTTAAGGGGTTTACTTCTTCAGAGGTTGTACTTTAAGTCTTTAAAAAGCTATCCCACCACTCATAATAATAAAAAAAAAAGATAAAAATTTATACTTGCCTCAAACTCAATCATTTTGTGAAACAAGACTTCCCTTTTCCCGACCAGTTCTAGAATCTGCTTATGATTCTCATAATATTCTTTAACAGAAGCTACCTCCTTCTCATGTAATGCTAACAATTCTTCAGTGTAATTATCTGAAATACACAATATCATTAACATTTTACCATACATAAGTCAAAGCCCTTCGATTGTTTGACACTTGATCTGGAGAAAATTTTCACACCTTTTCTGGTGTGTGTGTATTTGAGTATATTTATACTCGCCACTGGGTTGCCCATATGGGTGAGCTCCTAAGAAGACTATTAGTCATTATAGATTTTGGAGGATAGTGCAAGGTAGAGATATAGAAAGATGTGTTTAAACACTCATAAACTTCTGCAAAATACTGTATTCCTAGAAAAGATTTCGCGCATTTTAAGTTAGCGGTTTTCGCGATAGGCATGATTCCGCGAATCTTTATAGCCGCGAATATGTCACTTATAACAAATCCGCGAACATTTCTAGCTTCAACCAAAGTGCAGAAATTTATTATAATCTACTTACACAAAACAAGATATAAACACAGGTTTTAGAGAAATGTGTAAAGAATTATTTATGTATGTTATTGATACTAGTTTTCACGTTGAAAAAGAAAATATCAATTATTAGTAATTAACATGCTTATTGACGTTATTTGCTAGTCACGGCGTTGACAAACACATTTACAGTTTGCAAACATTGAATGACTTGGATTTCATTTGCTTGGAGTAGGTGTAATCCTTTGATAAAAGTACAATAGCGATCAAGTGCTACATTGATAAACAGCTGTTATGTTGTTAAATGAAAGCGATGTACAGTCCGATAATGTGTAAAAAAATACGTATCTACATTTTGGAGATAGAGTCAGTTATTATTCAAATGAGAATAAAAGCTAACTGGTCTGACTAAATCTTACTTAATAACATAATGAAAAAGGTAAGGAAATATGAAAGTGTTGAAACCGTCCTTGTTCGAGTAATTAATAGATGAAAATGTATCGAGTAACGTTGCGCTTTAGGGGTGACTTGAAATAAAATAATTAAAGCACCCACCAGGCAAGGTCATGCATCAAAAACGTAACCTCCAAAAACTGTAATTTAGGCCGTAGCGACTTAACATTCGCGGAATTCGCGGTTAGTACATATCCGCGAAAGTTTGTCTCCGCGAAAATGCCGACGTTGTGAAAAACGCGAAATATTGTATCCGCGAACATTTCTAGGAATACAGTATTATGAAATAGTCATTAAAGGTAGTGTTCTGATCTAGCAAACACTTGGTTCATGTGATAATCATAATGTGTTGTAATCCGGTCAAGTTATCGCCTTTTCCTTCTGTTGCACCTTTTGTAAGCCACTTAAAAATGTCGTCTGGAAATTTTGCCAGTAAATTAAGCCTGATACACAAGTCAAATACCCAATGTATAGAAGCCTTTTTTGTCAAGTCCCCTTATCTTTGACTTACTGGACTTCTTTTGTATAACTATTACTGTGGAAATTGAAACAACTTACACTTTTTGTTTTGCTTGATTAAACCTAGCTACAAATATGCACTTTGTTTACATAGTTGGGTTGAAATGATTGAATTTTGATATTGCTATGTTGTTACATTTTCCCAGAATATATAGAGGATATTTGTTTATTTCAGTGTAAGATCGGAATATATTTCACCGAGTGAGCACCAAAAGGTATATTTCACGAGTGGCGCAGCCACGAGTGAAATATGAACTTTTGGTGTTGAACCCAAGGTGAAATATGTTTCAATCTAACACTAAACTAAACAAATTTTCTTTTTATTACATGCAAAGAAACGTTTTAAAAAGACATTATTAAACCTAATACTGAATGAAAAGCGCGCCAAATAATAATACAATGTGACGTCATTTACGACGTCACGTCATAAAGTTGGTACCCAGTACTGTGCACGCTGGTATTTCACTGAAACAACGTAAGGGGCTTAAATTCAAAACAGTGAAATTATCAAAGTGGTAATTTCACTGTTTCAAACAGTGAAATTACCAGTTTTATATCACTGATATATTTCTATAAACCACCGAAAAGCATGCAATAAATTCTTATAACATGGAAGGTTAGAATAGAAATTCAGAATAGTAGTAACCAAACTTTGTAGTTCTAAACAGATCTTTTTTTTAAACTAAGCAATAATTTACCATCCTGAAATCATGTGAGACAAACTAAGCAATAATTTATCACACTGCAAATCATGTGAGACATCTATAAACTTATTACATGATCTTATATCTAATTTATCTGAACTTACTATCTGTAAAGTATTTGAATTCACTCCTCTGTTTGGCACTAATGTAGGATTTATTCCACCAATTTTCCAGCTCCTGTCTTATACCATCAATAAACTTCTGTATATGTGCTAACTTCTGTGCCTCACATCGTTCTATCTCCTCATTTAACTAGAAACAAAATAAATGTACAACTACATGTATTTTTTGCTAGCATTTTTTGGACCAAAACAAGGTCACACTCACAGAAGCCATCTTTTTTTCACAAGTGTTAATTGAAAATTCACAATTTATAACTGTAGTTATTGACAAATAATCAATGCATTAAAGACATGAGAAACAGAGAATTAAACTCTGGAGTGCAATGCAATGTTTACAATAACTTAAAAAAATATCATCATTTCTTATAAACTGGATCACACTATTTTTCTTTTTATCATTTCTTGCACTTGATCGCATGATGGTCTTTTGTAAATATAATACAGTTTTATTGACCTTTTCACAGCATTTATTCAATATGATTGATTCATGAAAGAAACGTGCATATTGTATGTAAACAGAAAAAACTGTTCTGGAATAAAATATTTTGCCGCAATTTTAAGTAGTTTTGGCAATGATTTCATGCATGCTCTTCTCGCTTTCAATTAAATACAAAAACAAATTTCTTTCATTTTTTTGGTAATCTGAATTTGTGATAATTCTAATCACAATTTAAACAGTATTTTACTATCCAAAGACAGCAAATAGTAGATTTATACTGATACAATCATCTTTTTTACAAATACTTACAGCTTCTATCACTGCAGGTTTAATGCCTTCTTTACCATTTTCAAATAACTCCTGTTCATGTTTGGGAACCTCTAACCTTTCCCAGAGTGTATGTAACTTGTCCCATAGCTTAGCCACGGTCATCTCCAGTTTTGTTTTACTGGATAAAAGCTTCAAGAAATTCAGAAACAAATTAAGACAAGAAAAAGGACAAATTACATTGTATTCTAATTTGAAAATTTCTTTGACTTTGAGCCAAACTTAACCACTATGATTTAACCTACATGAATTTTCAGACAAACCAATTCTTCAAAAAGTCAAAATGGAGCAACTTATGACCTCAAAAGAATTCATGGAGTTCATGATCACGGAGCTGATAGGCTCACATCTCAGCAACTTTCCTAAGATATAACTATGTTTGCCATCACTTTGTTAATTTCAAGTGACAGTAGTCCAATATCATGGATTTTTATATAAACTTAAAACACATATCTAGTTAAGAAATCATAAAAATCTGATTACTGTAACCCAACGAATATTCGCGACCAATTAATATTCGCTCTATTCGCGGATGGCCACGAAGCGTGAATATTTGTTTGCGCGAATAAGTCCGCACGATTTCGCGAATAAATTTTTATTTTAGACATTGTTCATGCAAAGCTACTTGACCGGATATATTCGAATTTTACGGGCACCTGTTAGGAAGTAATGAATTGTCATGAATATTGCTTTTCTGGTGTGCTTTCTAGATCATGATCAGGCAGAAACAATGCCGAAACATCCCTGCATTCTAAGGGTTTATTTTTTATCAACCACCCTTTTAACAACAGGTTTAGAAATGAAGACGAACGATGCGTACATGTACATATATAGAGAAAAGGTTTTGCTGAATTGTGATCACAATTCACTTACAAATACAATACAAGGCTAGCATATTGTTAATCCCATTTAAGACACCAATAATGACCTCAATTATTGAAGATTGATAGTCGGCTAATGGATTTTACGGCCCCATCAGACTTTTAAATCCGCGATTTTTTTTCGGAAATCAAGAAAACGCGGAAATTAATATTCGCGAATATGTCTGACTTCGGCAAAACACGAAATTTTGTATTCGCGAATATAAATTGGGTTACAGTAATTAAAACTAAAATACTAGCTGAAATAATTAAATAATTTACATATTATGTTGATATAGATATATATCTGTTCTTACCTCAGCAACTAGGGCATCTAGAGCATGCATGTTATCTTTGGACAGAGCGAAAGACTCCTCCTCCTCGTTAACTACTTCCTTCTCAAAGCTCGACTCTGGTGAGCGGTCCATAAATAACATCAGGTCTGCAATCTCTTTCTTCTGTTTGATAAATGTTTCATAGCGCTGTCTCTAGATTGGTGAATAAAATGTGATGCTATCATTTTTCAAAGTATCAAAAGCAAACTGTTTCGCACAGAAAATTCTGCCTGAATGAGACATTATGAGTGTCTTGTCAGTGTCTATACATTCAATCAATATCATGGTATACAAGAATATGCATTAAAAAGCTACCACAATCTGATCAAAATCAGCTCCTAAATAACGCATTAGGATCTGACGATCAGCAATAGGTTGCCACCTCCTCATATGCCTAAAACAACCAATCATTAGCAAGTTTCCAAAATTTTGAAAGCGATACTAATTTTAACCTCTGGAGAACCAATATTAAGTAGGTAATTTTTCGAGAACAAACATGGTGTTGTGTATATAGTTGTCAGGTAAACTGGCAAAACAATCTTGACAATAAAAAATTGACTATTATTTCCAGTTAATTTGTTTTTCAAATTAAAAAACTTTTTTTTTCTCTCACAAAAATCAACAATTTGTTTTACTTTAACGGACAACAATAGTTTGATACTTCTTCTAATGCCTACCTGTAAGGGACAATTTGATTGCAATACTAAAACTAGCTTTCTCGGGAATTCTGAATCACAACGAAGACAGAACAAATACAGTGGGAATAAGATCTACATGTAAGAAATAAGTAGATCTGAACTTCAGTCAGATTGCTAGCTACCGCTTCTAAATTTGAGCTTAACATCATGTATACAAGAACAGAGGTTCACTATAAAATACCTTCTCTAGTGCAAGTTTTTCCACATGTTGTTTAAGTTGTTCTAACTGTTCACCAGACGGTATTGAACCTGATGGGATATAGTATGGTGTCATACACATGGCATCACATAAAACCTGGTCATCTTGCTTTAACTTGGCAAGAATCTTCATACGCTCTTTCTTCTCCTTCCTAAGTGTGTCCACTTTGGTCTTTAGCTCTTTCTCTACCTGTAGAATTGCTTGTCCTGGTGTTTTCTATATAAAAAACAAACAAACATAATTTAAATATAATTTATATGTAAAAGTTATCACTTACATACAAACTATTCTACAGGTTGCCATAATGCAGCCAAAGCAGAAACATAATTATACAAACTTAAGCCTTCAAAAATCAAATACATGTATCTTTAAGTCAGTATTTAAAAAATATTTTTCACACTGGTTTTCTTTTTTTTGTAATCTTTAGCATTCAAAAACTAATTTGATTTGGTATGTCTGTATTAAAACGTACCAGTTCACAGTCAATGGGCACAATTCCGTAGTTATTTCAAAAACTGAGTTATTATTGATAGAGTATGAACATTTGTATTGACAATAATATTTTGTTCTGGAACAATTCATTGTCTACTATAATATGTATTATGTCATATCAGATCTTATGTATGTATGTAACTATGTATGTCATACCGAATTGTGTATCTCACACTTCAATATTTTTTCAGTGATTTTCCTGCTTTTTTAATAGGCTCCGATAAAAGGCCACTTACCAATTGAAATTTTCTTTAAAATCATGCAGTTTTCCCAAAAATCTGAACTTAAATTTGCTTTTTTACTTCCCAAATTAGCGATTTTAGTGATACTTTTTCCAAAAATCAAGAGGCTAAGACCTTTTCCCAATTAAGTGAGAAAAATCACTGGTTTTTCTTTCATGGTTTGTTGACACATACAATATCAAATACTATTATCATAATTATCTATGGTATTACAGACCTTCAAAAAAGGATCAATTCACATTAATTCAAGAATATAACAAGAGCACCGCTAGGCGGAGCATTATATGCCCGAACGTGTTTTTTTTTTTTTTAGTAAGAGTGAAGCATTTTTAAGACATGGGAATTAGCTGTTCATCCTATAAAATTTTACAACTGTAGGTTGATTAATACTTAAGTTATTAATAATGACCTTAACCTTTGACCTTGTGACCCCAAAACAATAGGGGTCTTCTACCTTATATGGACAATCATCCTATGAAGTTTGAATATAGTGGGCCAAATGGAACTTACGTTATGCTCCGGAAACTGTTTTTGGTTTTAAGGTAATTGTGACCTTGACCTTTGACCTAGTGACCCCAAAATCGATAGAGGTCTTTTGCCCAATATGGACAATCATCCTATGAAGTTTGAACATTGTGGGCCAAATGCAACTTAAGTTACGCTCCGGAAACTGTTTTCAGTATCAAGGTAATAGTGACCTTGACCTTTGACCTTGTGACCCCACAATCAATAGGGGTCTTCTACCCAATATGGACAATCATCCTATGAAGTTTGAATATTGTGGGCCAAATGGAACTTAAGTTATGCTCCGGAAACTGTTTTCAGTTTTAAGGTAAAAGTGACCTTGACCTTTTGACCCTAAAATCAATAGGGGTCTTCTACCCAATATGGACAATCATCCTATGAAGTTTGAACATTGTGGGCCAAATGGAACTTAAGTTATGCTCTGGAAACCAAATTGCTAACGGACGGACATACGGACAGACGCCAGGGGGTATAACATAATATGCCTTTTGGGCATATAAAAATTTATTATTCATATAATAACAAAAATGAATCATCAAAATCCAAACTACTTGTTCTTTTTTGTTTGTTTGATTTTATGTCTCACCAACACAATTTAGGCCACATGGCACCAAAACAGGAAAGATGATTTTGGCTAACGTTGGGTAATACAATCTTAAATCAACACCAGAGGTCAAAACCATCTCACCTGCGAGAGCTAAGAGATGTACAGACTCCAGTATTTCAAACCAATTGAGTCATCTTTTCCAATCATACAGGAATAAACAGTGGCTGTAATTCTGATGCCTCAACCCTGTAAGGCATCCCTCTGCCACAAGGGTGAATCTACTTGGTGCACACAGAAAATATTACCTTGAATTCTGGAACATTAAGGTCTTGAGTAAGCTGTTTAAGTTCAGCAGAGAGATCTTCTACCCTCTGTACTATCTGTTTCTCTAAACCCTCTTCTTCATCAACCATCTCATCCAGCAGTCCCTGAAATCATTTTCATGCTTAATTTTTATTTGCAAAAGATACTGTGGCAGACCACTGAATGCATAAAAAATGATATGACGATTACGACCATTGTCATGTATTTATAAATTAAGAGGCTTGATTGAAAACTCCTATTGGTAATTGTTGTTTTTTTTAATTCACTGTTTTTTTTAACATCAACTTTCATGTCAATAGTTTACATCTATAGTTGGAATGTATGTTTCATATTTTTGACAATTCCGCTGTATTTTTTCAGAGGCAGACAGGAAGTTTTACACAAAGAAAGAAGGAAAAAGATCAACAAATGTAATAAATTTTCACTTTTCGAAAAAAAAATCCCGGTTTTTTGATTCCTATGATAAACACTGATTTCAACTTCAAGTACACAAACATATTTTACTTTAACAGACAATCCCTCACATGATTAGCAAAAAAAAACCAAAACAGTCACACAAATGATATAAAACTGAATTTCATCTTGCCTTAAATTCTACTGGTAGAATACTAGATACTAATTTTTCTTGCATGTCAGACAGGATTATCTACCATTTACATCGGTGCTAGAAAACCCTGTCTTACATCCCTATGTAAGACAAGTCGCGTGTTTTAAATGACGTCATTGCTGCGCGCCCTTTATGAATGAATTGCGTTCTTAGGATGACCTCATTTTACCGTTATGAATGAAGTCCAAGTTCAAACGCTACTATAAGAAAAAAAATGATAATAAGAATAACAGTTTTCATGATTTCCTGTTCTGAAATTTATTGATATTTAATATGCAAGAAAAAGAATCAAACACTGGCTGCCAGTACAGACTGGAATATCTAGCTCTCTGGTAACTGTTTAGCAGAAACTAGGCAGAGCCTCGTTACCGCTGTAAACAGTTACCCTCGACCTAGATATTTCGGTCTGTACCGGCAGCCGGTGTAAGATTCTTATAATAGCTAGCTCGATGAGCTGGCCCGAAGGGCCTGCTCGCAAAGCAAGCTTTAGGGTAACAAGAGTACCTGCTAAGTGATGGTTTTGAAAACTTTCGTCCGGAGAACCGAACTGACACATCGCAACTTTTTGAATTACAAGATAACGATAAAAGCGGATGTACTCTGATTGAAAACGAAAGCGTAGACTGGTGTCCTGCGCACTTATACAAGAACCATCATAGAAAGGGGGAACAAGAATAAACGGAAGCAGTGTATAAAATCCGAATGACAATTTTAAAACGGAAAATGTAAAATAAAAATGAATGATTATTTTAAACTATTTGACAGTAAAAGAAAATCGAGCTCGCTTTGACGCTTTGCCTTTTTCTTATTATTTCATATGTCATGTAGTACCTGCAAATGTCTCAGCACCATTGAACTCCTCTCTTCTTTTGCTGCCCTTCCTATTCCAATGCGGTCCCAAATCTTGTGTAATTTATCCATGGCCATCTCTAAAGACTTCAACAACTGTTTGCTTTAAATGACAAGAAAGTAATTTGTTAATTATTAAAGGAATATATTTAGCCAATATGGGATATTATGGAAAATAAACGGATAAATTAGTTATGATTCGCATGTTTCTCCATGTTTTCCTTTGATTTTTTTTTACCAATAAACCATATTGTCGTAATTCATTATATCATCCGATCTTTTATGAATCGGATACCGTTATTTAATCCGATTTTGTTTATTTCATAGGAAAAACAAATATTACCTCGGATCCATGGCTTGATTTGTATACTATTTAGTTATTTATTTTTGTCCTTTCACAGTTTTCGCCACTTTCAGATTCAAACTTCCCGCAGTAATACGATTTTTGATTGGCTGATACAATTTTCCCGTCAGGCCATCCGCCACAAATTACGAAAATAATATTTTTAGCGAAAAGTTGATAATTTCACCGAAACGGCTCTGACAGCGCTTTACCGATAGCAAAATGGGATTCCAGTAGCCAATTAAGCGATCTTGAACAGTGGAGGAAGTTAAAACATCATTAAGACATTAAACAGTTTGCGGTATCTCAGAAATTTTAGAAAATAAAAATTGACTGTGCTGAGAATTTCAAAGGACAACAGTCGAATCTAGCACTGGCCCAGTGGCCCATGGCCAGTGAAAATTAGTTCGGGCCAGTGCAAATTTTAAGAAAATTTAGTTAAATAAATAGTAGAATAAATTCAAAACTTGAATTCGGGCCAGTAAATTCAAAATCTTAAATTTAATGACTGGGACAATATGTGTATGTGTAAACTACACTACTTTGAAATTGAGAAATATTTAACTATAACATTGGAGCGTCGGTCGACTGCGATACCATGTACATAGGACTTGTCTTATTATTTGTTCTGTGCAATCAAATTAAATGATATATTGGTGATCTTTGCACATGAACTCAACAACTGAGCAATTTCTTATTAAATATTTTAGTACAAATCTCTAACAAACCGTTGATAACAGGAATAAAAAAAAACTTTTTTTTAATCTGCAAATTGAGGCGTATAAAGTTTATATTTTTATGAAATACTTTTAAGAAATATTCAACAGTAACATTATATTGTTTCTATAATCTTATAGTCGATTCTTGAGCTGTTACATAAAATTTCTCTATTATTTTACACATATGAATAGTGTACTTAAACAGAATAAAATGTTCCAAATCAAAATATTATGCTGCTATTTTAAGAATTTAACCTTTCAGCAATGATTTATAGCATGCGTTACTCGCTTTTAAGGTAATATACTCGTACTACCGTATTTTTCATACAAGCATTTTAGAATTTTTTTTCTCTAAAATTCAAACACTAATTTTTGCAGCAGATACATCTTCATGCTCTTTAACTGGTGGTTTTGTATCTCATTGACTTACTATATGTACTCGTATATGTACAAGTTTATCCAGAACTTACAACATGTATGTGTACAACTGTATCCAGAACTTACTACATGTACAAGTATATCCATGACTTACTACATGTACAAGTATATCCGTGATTTAATTATATGTACAAGTAAATCCGTCACTTACTAGATGTATATGTACAAGTATATCCGCAAGTTACTAAATATACAAGTGTTTATCAATGACTAACTGCATGTACACGTATAGCCGTGACTTAATTACTACATGTACAAGTATATCAATGACTTACTATATGTGCAAGTTTACCTGTAAATTACTACATGTACAAGTATATCCGTACCTTACTACATGAACAAGTATATCAGGGACTTACTACATGTACAAGTATATCAATGACTTACTATATGTACAAGTTTACCCGTGATTTACTACATGTACAAGTATATCCGTGACTTACTACATGTACAAGTATATCCGTGATTTACTACATGTACAAGTATATCCATGACTTACTACATGTACAAGTATATCCATGACTTACTACATGTACAAGTATATCCGTGATTTACTACATGTACAAGTATATCCATGACTTACTATATGTACAAGTATATCAATGACTTACTACATGTACAAGTATATCCGTGATTTACTACATGTACAAGTATATCCATGACTTACTACATGTACAAGTATATCCATGACTTACTACATTTACAAGTATATCAATGACTTACTATATGTACAAGTATATCAATGACTTACTACATTTACAAGTATATCAATGACTTACTATATGTACAAGTATATCAATGACTTACTATATGTACAAGTATATCCATGACTTACTACATGTACAAGTATATCCATGACTTACTACATGTACAAGTATATCCATGACTTACTACATTTACAAGTATATCCATGACTTACTATATGTACAAGTATATCAATGACTTACTATATGTACAAGTATATCAATGACTTACTACATTTACAAGTATATCCATGACTTACTATATGTACAAGTATATCCATGACTTACTACATTTACAAGTATATCAATGACTTACTATATTACAAGTATATCAATGACTTACTACATATGTACAAGTATATCAATGACTTACTACATTTACAAGTATATCAATGACTTACTATATGTACAAGTATATCAATGACTTACTATATGTACAAGTATATCAATGACTTACTATATGTACAAGTATATCAATGACTTACTATATGTACAAGTATATCAATGACTTACTATATGTACAAGTATATCAATGACTTACTACATGTACAAGTATATCCATGACTTACTACATTTACAAGTATATCAATGACTTACTATATGTACAAGTATATCAATGACTTACTACATGTACAAGTATATCAATGACTTACTACATTTACAAGTATATCCATGACTTACTATATGTACAAGTATATCCAATGACTTACTATATGTACAAGTATATCCATGACTTACTATATGTACAAGTATATCCATGACTTACTACATGTACAAGTATATCCATGACTTACTACATGTACAAGTATATCAATGACTTACTACATGTACAAGGATATCCAACACTTACTACATGTACAAGTATATCCAACACTTACTACATGTACAAGTATATCCATGACTTACTACATGTACAAGTATATCCAACACTTACTATATGTACAAGTATATCCAACACTTACTACATGTACAAGTATATCCAACACTTACTACATGTACAAGTATATCCAACACTTACTATATGTACAAGTATATCCAACACTTACTATATGTACAAGTATATCCAACACTTACTATATGTACAAGTATATCAATGACTTACTACATGTACAAGTATATCAATGACTTACTATATGTACAAGTATATCAATGACTTACTACATGTACAAGTATATCAATGACTTACTACATTTACAAGTTTATCCATGACTTACTATATGTACAAGGATATCCAACACTTACTATATGTACAAGTATATCCATGACTTACTATATGTACAAGTATATCCATGACTTACTACATGTACAAGTATATCCATGACTTACTACATGTACAAGTATATCCAACACTTACTACATGTACAAGGATATCCAACACTTACTACATGTACAAGTATATCCAACACTTACTACATGTACAAGTATATCCATGACTTACTACATGTACAAGTATATCCAACACTTACTATATGTACAAGTATATCCAACACTTACTATATGTACAAGTATATCCAACACTTACTACATGTACAAGTATATCCAAACACTTACTACATGTACAAGTATATCCAACACTTACTACATGTACAAGTATATCCATGACTTACTACATTTACAAGTATATCCAACACTTACTATATGTACAAGTATATCCAACACTTACTATATGTACAAGTATATCCAACACTTACTACATGTACAAGTATATCCAACACTTACTACATGTACAAGTATATCCATGACTTACTACATGTACAAGTATATCCAACACTTACTACATGTACAAGGATATCCAATGACTTACTACATGTACAAGTATATCCAACACTTACTACATGTACAAGTATATCCATGACTTACTACATGTACAAGTATATCCAACACTTACTACATGTACAAGTATATCCAACACTTACTATATGTACAAGTATATCCAAACACTTACTATATGTACAAGTATATCCAACACTTACTACATGTACAAGTATATCCAACACTTACTACATGTACAAGTATATCCATGACTTACTACATGTACAAGTATATCCAACACTTACTACATGTACAAGGATATCCAACACTTACTACATGTACAAGTATATCCAACACTTACTACATGTACAAGTATATCCATGACTTACTACATGTACAAGTATATCCAACACTTACTATATGTACAAGTATATCCAACACTTACTATATGTACAAGTATATCCAACACTTACTACATGTACAAGTATATATCAACACTTACTACATGTACAAGTATATCCAAACACTTACTACATGTACAAGTATATCCATGACTTACTACATTTACAAGTATATCCAACACTTACTATATGTACAAGTATATCCAACTACTTACTATATGTACAAGTATATCCAACACTTACTACATGTACAAGTATATCCAACACTTACTACATGTACAAGTATATCCATGACTTACTACATGTACAAGTATATCCAACACTTACTACATGTACAAGGATATCCAACACTTACTACATGTACAAGTATATCCAACACTTACTACATGTACAAGTATATCCAACACTTACTACATGTACAAGTATATCCAACACTTACTATATGTACAAGTATATCCAACACTTACTATATGTACAAGTATATCCAACACTTACTACATGTACAAGTATATCCAACACTTACTACATGTACAAGGATATCAATGACTTACTTACGTTATTTTCCATGTCCAATTTACAGACTATGCAAAGGTTAAATAGGTACGGGTAAGGGTTATATACCACTAACTTTTAAGCATAAAGACCATAAAAACTGTATGTATGATTCATAGGGAATGTACCCGAATGTATGAGGCATGAACCATGTACAAAATGACATGATGGTAAACAGTAGCAGGTGTATGTTTAACAAATCATAGAATTCTCATAATGTGCGGTGCTATTCTTAGTTCGTGTCGTACCAAATGTATGAACAATGCTGCCAATAATTATTTAGAAATAAATAATAAATATTTTTTTTACATTTTGTATCACTCAATTAAAATGATATATCGCCACCTTAATTTATGCCTGTCGCTTTTTATTTAGACCAGTATTTCTTCGATTTGCACAAAGGAAATAAATTGTCGAATAAATTTCTTGAAAACTGCTCTCATTGTTGAACATATCGATCTTTTCGAGTTAAAAAAATCTTACGATATTCGTGTTTTATACCATGATATGTAAACTAATGGTATTTGCTACATCAAAAATGACTATGTTTGATGTCCTGTGGAATAAAGATAAGTCAAATATTTTGTTTACTTATAATCTCAA